CGCGGCCGCTTATTTAACCTGCCTGCGGCGGAGGCCAAGCTGACTTCCCGCCGGCCGTCAGCGCGCGTCCGTCGACTCCATGGCGCTTCTGCAAAGGCTGCTGCCCCTCGCCCTGGCGCTGGCCCTGGGCCCGGCCGCGACCCTGCAGGGCCCCGCCAAGTCGCCCTACCAGCTGGTGCTGCAGCACAGCCGGCTCCGGGGCCGGCAGCACGGGTAAGTCGAGCCGTGCTCCCGCTGCGGGCCGAGAAGGTACGGGACGCCCGGGCTCAGCGCCGCGACGGGGGCGTAGGGGACAAAGCCCAAAGCCCGAATGGAAACCTGCAGCGTGAGGGGCCGGCAGAGAGGGTAGTCGGGGGACAGTGGAGGGAAAGACTGAGGCAGGGGCGCAGTAGGGGAGGGAAGGAGGAAGCTGAGCAGCGAACCCCGATTCCAGCCTGGAGCATGAAATGAAGCAAACTTGCAGCCTCACCACCCAGAGGCCGGCTGGGGGTGGGTGGGGGTGGGGAGGTGGGAGAGGCAAGTTGGCAGATGTCTGTCCAGAATCATAGAGACACAGTGGGCGCTGGGGCAAAGAGACAGCCCACCTCGAAGTGCATCCTTTCTGACAAATTTCTTCCTCCAGAGACTAGAGACAGGAGACTAGGAGGGGGTGATGGAGAACCAGCACTCCAGGTGCCCTGGGGGTCCCTGTTTACCTGCCCCTTGGCACTTGGGCGCACAGCAATTGTGTGCTAACCCCACTGCCTGCCAGATGTAGATCAGAGGGATTCCCCGGCCCTCACACATTGCACAGAAGGGGAAACTGAGTCCAGAGCGCGTACATGGCCCTGCAATGGAAGTGGGATCAGTGGTTCAATGTTGGAGGTATTCCTGTGAGATGCTGAAGATGCACTGGCTGTAGGAGGCCAACCCAGGCAGAGGCTCTGCCCTGGTAAAGACCTGGGCATAGACCCAAGCCGAACGAACGCTCGCTTCAAACGGAAATGCACTGCCATCAAGTCATTCCATCTCCTAGTGACCCTATAGGACGGACTGGAGCTGCCCCTGTGGGTGTCCAGACTTTCCACTCGTTACAGGAGTAAAAAGCCTCCTCTTTCTCCCACAAAGTGGCGGGTGGTTTCAAACTGCTGGCCGTTGGGTTAGCAGCCCAGTTCGCAACCACCTGGACGGAAGGGGGCCAAGATTTCGACATCTGAAACCAGGTCACACCTGCTTATACAAAACCAGGCTTGGCTGCAGCTTCCAGCCTACCTGGTGGTACCAACCTTTTTGCACCACTGGGAAAAAAACGATAAGGCGAGTAGACCCATTCCCAAATGCCACTGGCATCTGATACCCAAACCCGGACGGTCTCCAGCCCTTCAATGACTGGGCTGATGTGTACTTGAATCAAAGCTCCTTGTACTGTGCTGTTGGCTGCCATTGTGCAGTCCCATGCTTAGCATAACAAAGCGTCGTCCTTGTGGCTGATAACTAATCGGACTGTTGTGATCTGTAGAGCTTTTCTTGTCCGCTACGTGGAAGTAGGTTGCATTGCCAGGCCTTTCTGCATAATCTTAGTCTTCTAGCTCCTCTGAAACGTTAGGCATCACAGGCCTCCGCTGGGAGGTGGGTGGGGGCTGTGTTGTAGGTTCATTGGTCAGGGAGCACCTTCGTCTCCTTCCTAGGATGCCAGAATTCTACTCCTGAACCACTGGTGACCTCCAGACTCACTATTGGGAAGGTGACTGGAGAGGGCTTCCTGGGTCCTTGTAAAGTCCTTGTAAAGCCATAGTTCTCTGAACCTCCAGTGCTCTGGAGGTTGTGCCGAGTTTTAGGGTAGCTACCATTGTTGGAGGTTGTGCCGAGTTTTAGGGTAGCTACCATTGTTTCCTCCGCCAGAGGTTTTCTGGTTTTCCCTGCCCTTTCAGGCAGGCACTCAGGGCTGGTGGTTGGGTGCTGGGAGTTGTCCTGGGGGCGAGTCCAGTCACCCTACAAGGGGAAATCAAGCCAGGTCAGGCCCTAGGCACCACACCAGGAAAGAAGTCCCAAGAGTCACACACAACACTGGGACCATCATGAGAGGTTAGGGAAGTGGGAGAATCACCTTGGCCCAGAGGGTTTGCATGTTGGTAGCTCAGTGGGTCATATGCTAGGCTGCTAACCAAAAGGTTGACGGTTCAAACCCACCAGCCACTCATGGGAGGAAGATGAGACAAGCTGTCTGCTCCCAGTAAGAAGTTCAGTCTCAGAAACCCTCGGGAGCAATCCAATTCTGCCCTCCAGAGTCCCTCTTTCAGAACCAACTTGATGGCAGTGGGTGGGTGTGCCCTAGAGGGGCATGAGGGGAGGCTTGGAAAACAAAGTTAAAGTGTGAGCAACTGGCATTTGTTCTGCCCCTTCTCAGCTCACCTTGGCGCCTGGGCCTTGCTTGTCAATGAAGCTGGTCATGTGGGCCTGGGAGGTTTCTCTTCCCCCTGTGCTTCAGTCATGAAGCAGGGGCGGATCACCCAACAGGCAAGGCAAGCACAGGCTTATCTGTGCTTACTTACTAATCTGTGACAAAGCTGTTCACATCTTTCCACCACATCAAAGAGGCTGCATCTAGGAATGACTGACAGCTGCCTGTCTCCCAACCCCGAAGCACTTTCCTACAGAAACGAAGCCTCATTTCAAACTTAAAGTCCCTACTCAGTAAGCAGCATAAGCACGGGCTATGCTGTGCTACTTGGTGAGCATGGCCCAGTCAGCATCCCGGCAGCACGGTCACCCTCACAGCGAAGGTTCCCAAAATATGTCAAGGAGTGTCCACCAAAAACCAATCGTCTCTTCAGAAACCTCCTTCCCTTGGAGGAACCCCTGGAAAGGAGCCCCAAGCACCCCTTTTGTTAGGGACTTGTTCTCTCTACTAGGAATTCCAGATATTAGCTCATCAATGACAGCACGCACACAGACAGACAGACACACACACACACACACACACACACACACCAGCAGCCCTCAAGCTAACCCTCTTGACTAGCAGCTGCAAAGACCTAGCCTCATCTGTTATGGGCAGAATGCGCTAAGAAACCCCACGTGACCTCGCTCCCTCTGCCGCAACAAACGTCTGGCTCCACAGGCAGAAGGACGTTAACCAAGTGATTCCAGGCACGTTCGTGTTTGTTCCCTGGAAATGCCACGGGGTTGCCTGGCCCTGCACATGTGGGTGTGGCCCCTGTGGAAACGGATGCCATTGTCGGTGCTCCATGACCAGCACGAGCCCAGAGCGGAGGACAAATCTCTGGGCTGTTTTCAGGAAATAACACTCTGCTCCCAGCCGTGACGGAAGTAATGACAGTTGCACCTTGTCACGTGCCAGGCTGCCTCCTCCAGCGCCACCTTTGCTCTCATCCTCCCAATGGCACCGTGTGATCCGTGGCTGCTCGTGGTCTCGTGTGACAGCCTAATGACAAACGGTGGCTTGGTCCGGACACAGAGAGCTTTTGGGAGAAGAGCGGCTTTGACTCCCGGTGGTCTCTCAACTCCTAGCTGTGCCTGTGGATTCATCGCACGGACATATCGAGACGAGAGAAGCGAAAATGCAAGCCCACGTCCAAATAGCAATAACCAAACACTGGACAGAATCTCCCGAAGCGCTCCCTTCTCCAGGCCGTCTACGCCGGACAGTGCTGTGCGCCCCCAGGCAGAAGGGCCAGCCATGCCTCTGTGGCTGAAATGTCCTATGTAGACTGCCCGCTGTGACGTGCCTCAGGCCCCGCTCCTGTCACCAGTATTAGAAACTCACTCTGCAGAGGAAGGTTGGAGCTGCGTCCACCGGAGGCTTGCTGAAGGGTCACCACACGCCTATGGGAAGTTGCAGGGAATTGTCAGCCACAATCATTGTTTCCTGCCCAGCCTGATAGAGGCACCTTTGGAGCGGTAGAGCAAGAAACAGGATCTCAGGTGTGGCAGGCAGCCAGCGAGGACTCACCTCTGTCACCTGTGACTCCCAGATAGCAAGCAAGGAGCAAAGTGTATAGAGCCATTTGGGACTAGCAGTTCCTGCCCAGCCTGTGGTTGGCTGTCTCTCCAGGATAACCGTCTCACATGCTCGGGTCCCTGCGTATTCGCTGTACCCCCTCGGTCTATTCACCTGTGCTTTTTCAACAGCAAGCTGGGCAGCTAGATAGTAGAAGAGGCAAGACAGAGAAGTAGCAAATCAGAGTGACCCCCTGACTCAGTCCCTGGACTGTGTATCTGATCAGGAACCAAGTTGCAATTCCATGGAAGTGGGAGGAGTAGTTCGCACTGCGATGTATGTCCATGTGTCCCAGAAAAGGGCTGTGCTCATCAAATGACATCAGTCGGCAGCGTTCGCGAAGTTCCAGAGGAACTCCGCGTTACAGAAATCCTCAGGCCCTGACAGCGGAGGTTCTGCGGGCAGAGGTTTTGTGACAGCCTCAGCCCCTTCCTCTGACTTGGGGTTCAGCCACTTGAACTGCCGGTCCCGGCTCTACAGGACCCCCTTCTCTGTGGTCACAGCAGCCTCCTTCCACCAGGCACAGGAAGATCACCCCATCCCTAGGCCTGAGTCCAATCAGAGAAGAAAACACTCAAATTCCAAATCCCTTGGCTCTGGAAAAGACAGGAGCATCGCCGCCAAATCCCAGGCATTGGCACGCTGCTTCCCACCGCTTTGGAGAGTGCTCCTGAGTGGCTTGGTCGTAGGAGCAAGATATTCAACAAGTCCAACCCTAGCTTCTTCTCCACCCTGACCTAGGACTAACCTTCATCCGGAATAGGGCTGAGCAAACTTTTGAGATGGAAGAGCCCACCCTGTCCCTGACAACAATTTACAAATTATCCGAGAGCCATACATATCTTTTTATGGAAAAAAAAATGAAATCAACATTATCTGACTCAGGCATCCGCAAACTACGGCCCGCGGGCCGCATACAGCCCGCCGAGGAAATTGATCCAGCCTGCCGGGTATTTTTGCCACTGCTACCTGTCCTGCTTAGCAGCCGACTCGTCCAGTGTGCATAGTTTTTTTTTAAACTATAGTCTGGCTCTCCAACGGTCTGAGGGACAGTGAACTGGCCCCCTGTTTAAAAAGTTTGAGGACCCCTGATTCTGACTAATATCCTTTTAAACATTCTTCAGTTTGACTTCAGAACCACACGTATACACTGGAAGAGCTGCATGTGCCTCAAGAGCTACAGTTTGCCAGCCTCAGATCTAGAACACGAGTTCCCAAACCCCTTGATCTACTGGCCCCTTTTCAGAAAAATACCTCCCTAGCCGCAATGAATACCACTCCCAGCAATGAAAAGCTTTTGTGCTATATCCCATAATTTGGGATAAAGTGCAGATATCTGCTTTGCAGGGCCACCACCACCACCACCACCACCCACCTCGCCCGGGTTGTTCCAGCTTCACGCCCCCACGGGAGACAATACCATCAACGTTGGCCAATGCTGATGTAGACCCTAAAAAAAAGGAACAAGGCAGAACATTTGTGTTCGAGGTTCTTCGGAGCCGTGGAAGAGAGATGCCATACTCACGTGCATCAGCTGTAGTTTGGGGTGTGGTGTTTGTGTCCCCGGCATCAAACAAGGGGGGTGGCAGCTGTATCCCAGATGAGAAGGAAGGACCGCGGACGGACGCTTTCTAGAGGAAGTGAGACTCCAACAGGGGCCTGAGTAATGGGTGACAGAGTAAAACGGGAGCCTGCTGTGGTCCTGATAGCCACTGGCCATGCCCTCTGCTTCCCAGCACGGAGGTGCCCGATAGTGGGCTGGAGGGCCAGGCCGCTGGTCTAGGGGCTCGAAGCCTATCTCTATATGGAGCTGCCTGAGAGGTGCTGGAGCCTAACCGAAGCCTCATCCACAGGCGCGTGGGGCCCAGAGGCCCGGTGAGGGCCTGGGAGGGTCTGGACTCAGTGTGGTCTGAGAGGGCGGACGAAGTGTGGGGGGTTCTCGCCCAGCTGCTTGGCTTGGCTTACCATTTCTACTTTGGTGGTCTTCTCAAACTCTCACATGCCATCCAAAATGTCCAAGATATTTTTATTTGTACTTATCAATTGCCTGGGTCAGAGGATATTTTTATGAAATTATACCCATGCGTAAATTATCCTTGGCTAACTTCTAATGCTTTGAATTTGGAAGGGTGGATGGAAACCTAGGCCCACAGGCCCAACATCTGTCTACACGCAAGCCACTGAAATGATGCCTCTCCTCCATCTTTAGAAAGTGCTAATGTCTGGGGGGGGTCCCGCGTAGGGTGGGGGGTGTCTCTGGTAACATGACAGGAAGAGCCTCCAGCTGGGGAGAGGCACTGACTATCCTGCTAATGCCGTGCCTTCGGTTTGCAGCCCCAACGTGTGCGCCGTGCAGAAGCTCCTCGGCACCAACAAGAAGTACTTCACCAACTGCAAACAGTGGTACCAGCGGAAAATCTGCGGCAAGTCTACGTGAGTATCTCACCGCCCGAGCCCACCCACCACTGCCGAGGCCTTGCGGTGTGCATGCCAGCCACAGTACTCTTGGGCCTGGGCCAGCCCTCTAGAAGGTCAGCTCTCCTCAGGAGCCACGAAGATGCGTGTGTGGACGTGCCAGGGAACTAAGTGCGCTTGGGAGTGGCTTTTTTTTTTGGTGAGCTGGCCAATTTGGGCTTTGCATGTATAAGACTGATGACAAGACTTGGATACATTTCTCAGGGCTGACTTGGGATTTCAAGAAGCATGAACCACGTGTGTGTGTGTGTGTGTGTGTGTGTGTGTGTGTGTGTGTGTGTGTGTGTGTAAACATGCCCGCGCGCACTTTCTCGTCCTCATTCAATGATACAAACATTCAGTGGAGAAGCCGCCAACATGTGACTCTGGATAAGAAGCCAGTGGTTGAGTTTATACTAAAACAAAAACCACCAGCTCAACTCTGCAGTGCTAAGGTAGCTAAACCAAGCAAGGACTGGTCCCACCTTTGTATGGGGCACTCATCTCTGGGGCTCACTGTGGGGCTGTGAGCATCGGATGGACCATTTACATGCTCAGTTGTTGAGCTTCTCGCCAGACCCCAAGGATGCACCTTCATATGGAGGCTAGCTATAGTTCTAGGGCTGTATGTAACGTCTGTGTCTAGTCCCTTGAAATAGACACAGTATGAGACAGGGTAACATAGGAACTCTGTCCGTCAGGTTTCTTGAAGACCCTGTTACGACCCCTTACTTGGGCAAGTTGCTTCATCTTTGGAAATTTCAGCTGCTTCATCTGTAAAATGGGGATGTAAATAGGAGCTGTTATATGTCTAGAGGATTAAGTGGGGGGTAAGAAATGCATGTAAGAGGCTGCATACAGTCGGGCCTCTGAGAGTTGAGAGAGTAATTCCATAGTACATAAGAACAGCAGCAGTATTATTACCCCAGGATTTGAAATCTAGGTTAGATCAAAATAATCGAGTGCCAGTGGGGTGTGGGCAAGTGTGGTTATAGCAAGGTTTGGTCCCTCTCTCCGTATGGAGGGAGCCGGTGTGCAGTGCCTGGTTGGCCCCTGGAAGCCGGGAGCTTGCATGTTCTAACAGAAACTTAAAATTCTGGAGAGACCTAATCTGCTCTGGCACCAACCGTGAACAGATCTCAAAGCTGGCACTCTCCTGCAGACAAAAAGATGAGTTGTAGACCTTCCCCACCACTTGTGAGGCCTGCTCTTTCTTCTGTCAACAGAAAACGGGAATTAAGAGACCCTAAGCCACTACCGTGGACACTTTCCAGTGCTGGGGGTTTTCTCATTTGTTGCTTGCAGCATGGCCTTTGAGTGGACATCTCCAACTTAATAAGCAGCTAAGGGACGGCAAAACACTCCACCCTTCACACACACGGAAAAGCACAATTCGCAACCACGATTGTGTTAGATAACCATCAATCCTACCATAAGCCAAGGCCAATGAGGTGTCCTGGAAGACTTGGGAGGGCCCACGAGAGTCTGAGGAGCCTGGCTAGTGCAGGCAGGCCTGTGAGTGGAGTGAACCAGGAGGCCACACCTGTAGGTCCCACGAGACACCGCCACCGCGCCGCCGGCAGCCGTTCTCCCTGCTTCAGACAAACAGAGATGAAACCATTTTCAAAAGATCATTTTATTGGGGGATCTTACAGCTCATGTCACAATCTATACACCCATCCCTTGTGTCAAGCACGTTTGTACCTAGGTTGCCATCATCAGTTTCAAAGCATTTTCTTTCCCCTTGAGCCCTTGGGGTCAGCTCATCCCCCGCCCTTCCCCACCCTCCCTCCCTCATGAACCCTTGGTAATTTGTAAAACTTTTTGTCATGTCTTACACTGACTGATGTCTCCCTTCACCACACATCCTGCCCAGTTTTATTGTTGTTGTTGTGTTGTTGGTAAGACAATCTTTTGAACTGTTTAGGAGCCTTGGTGACATAGTCATGACTCTTCAGGCGACTAACCACAAGGCCAGCAACACGAACCCACCAGCTGCTCCGTGGGAGAGGGACCAGGGAGGCTTTCTACTCTGTAAAGAGCGACAGTCTTGGAAACCCACAGAGGCAGTTCTACCCTGTGCTGTGGGGTCCCCGAGAGTCGGCAGTGAGCTTGGTTTGGGATTTGTACTGTTTGACTTTGTCCCATGTGAATGTATTACCTATTCAAATAAGCAGCTAATTAATTACTTAGTTAAACAAAAAGCCAAGCCCCCACATAATCGCTTCTAGGAAGGTGGCCAAGTGCTAGTGCCAAGCAAACAGCCTGCCTGCATCTCAGAGCCTTAGGGTTTCAGAAGCCCTGTGCTCTTGTTAGTTCAGGTTTCCCTACAATGGGACCCCCTGGAATGGCAAGCTGGCAACAGAGTGGCACCTGCCATCCTCGTTGGGGATGGCCCTTGTGTTGAAGCATTGCCCATGGTTAACAGTAGCTTGATGGCATTCCTTAGACACTCACAGACGGATGCTGTTGTAGATGATGAATCGGCTTGGCTGTTGGGCCTCTTGTCACCTGCATCTCTCCCCATCTCTATCCCACAACAAGCAGTATAACTGTTGGCAAAAGAGTTCCTGCTGGCTGAGTCTTCCTACCTGGGGCAGGTTTGTCTCTGAGAATGTGGTGACATGATGGGGCAACACCCTCACACCTGTGGACAGAGGGAGCCCGGGTACTGAAGAAGGGGGCAAAGTGAAGGAAGAATTGGGGCAGGTGAGGGGGTGCATGGAGAGCAAGATGAAGTTTAAAGAGACAAACAAACCTCAGTGTCTAATCTGTTGTTGACCTGATCTCCCAAAGCCAGAACAAGATAGGAGTCACTCACATTCAACTCACGAATGTTGTTTTGGGCAGCTTCAGAAAGCGGAAGTCAAGACAGGAAAACATGAGTAGATATAAAACTTCATGATCCAGGACAAGGGAAGGCCCTTCCTGGAAACCCACATGCAGCGTCAGGAAGGTGGAGCTGGCTTGGAGATGAGCCAGAGGACTCAGCTAGGGAAAGAGGAAGAAGCTGGGGCCATCTCTGGTGTCCTAGAGAAAGCTGAGCCTGGGAGTTCCCTGTGCACCCATGATGGGGACCTCGAACTACTATGTGGATAGCCAGAAGTACGCGCCCCGAAAGGAGCTAGCTGGAGCTGAAGCATCCTGGTGAAAGTGGGTACCCCTTGAGGACCAGACGGCAAAATGGGAGCACCATGGTGATTGGAGCAAAGAAGCTCCTCCCAGCTTGGGGCCCACCTGAGCCTTGGGAGGAGATGCTGCAGCAGAGGGCTGTATTGGGATGGAGGGAGCTCAGGGGCTGTAGGTAGAGTGCAGGTGCAGAGGGGAGCCAAGACCAGAGGAGAATCTGAACATGCAACAGACCGGAAACGCCAGGTCCATGGATTGGAGACTTGACAGTGTTCGGTCACACAGAGTCACAGGGACAGGCCGGGGGTGGCAGGAGCCTGGTGTTACCTGTGTGCTGTTGTGCGGTCCAAGACTCCACCCCCAGGGAGTGGGGAGGACTGGTCACAGCGCTCAGGTGATCAGGTGCCGCTCCGCTGCGTCTCTGGACAGTCACTTTAACTAGCATGTTTCCCCAAAAGAGAAGCGGCTGAGTCTTGGGTGTTATTTGTCAAACCCAACATATGGATTTTATTACCAGTGGGGGTGGGTGGGGGTGGGGCGTGTTAATAAATGGGCTTCACTTGAGTGACCTGAGCAAATTTTACTACTTGGAAATTCACTTCAGCTTCTATTTCGGATCTTTAAAAGCACCAGAGCGATGCAATGCCGATTCAGACAAAGGGGCTTGGGGAGGGAGACGGCACTCCATTCTTTGATTTCAGGCTTCAGACTGGTTAGTGACCATAAAATATTTACATGCAGCAGCTTGGGCACCAGTGCAGGAAATTGTGGTCAGGGAGCCCTGCGGCCTTCTCCACAGGCCACCTTTGTGTGTGCCCGCTGCGAGGAGGAGGCTGTGGAAGGGCCACGTGGGAGCTGACATCATGGACATGTCATCGTCCACAGCAGGAGCTCAGACACCGTAAATGTGGCCCAGGGAGGGCCAGTGCAGCAGCTGACAGGTAGGGGTGGCAGCTGTCCACGTCCAAAAGCTAAAAATTCTTTTATGAGCAACTCATCTCGCAAGCGCAATCGCCATTCCCCAGAGCCACGTTGAGCTGGCGGGACACTCCCACTTCGCTGGTAGCAGCTTTGCTTTGCCCTGAGAGGCTAGTCCTTCTTCAGCCCTGAGCTAACCTTTGGAGATTTCACTTTTACTAAAGCCAGCTGGTGCCGAGCCGAGCGTTTCCATCTGCTGGCAGGACTGTCTTTAGTAGATCTTATTCTGGGCAGGGCATCCAGACAAGTGAAGCTGAAACAACAAAGAGAGAGACCTCTTTGTTCTCCCTTCCTGGTATCCCACAGCTCTGGTCCAAGTCAAAAATAAAAGTCACCATCCCCAAGCCCCACACCAGCACCCCCTTCCCTGTTTCACGTCTCTTTTTGCTTCTGTGGCCACCTGGGACCCTGTTCAGAGTCCTTGTGGCGCAGTGGCTAGACAGTGAGCTGCTAACCACAGGACAGTGGTTCGGATCCACCAGCCGCTCCTCAGGATCGAGATGAGGCTCTCTCTGCCGGCAGTGATTTAACATCTGGGAAGCCCCAAGGGGCGGCTCTGCTGTGTCCTGTAGAGTCGTTATGAGTCAGAACAGCCTGGATGGAGTGAATTTGGTTTTTGTTTGGAGCACTGTTGATAATCGGGGATGTTTGGCAGTTAGGCCTAAAGGTCCTCTCCCATTTCTATAAACTCCAAAGAGGCTACTTATCCAATATGGAATTTTGCTATGTCCAGTACTGAAGTGAATCTTTGTCCCGTCCAGGGTAGGCTGAATAACGGCCCCCAAGGATGTCTACATCTGCTCTCTAGAGCCTTTGGGTCTGTGACCTTCCATGGCAAAAGGGACTTTGCAGATAGGATTGTTTCAGACCTT